CGAGATGTCAGAAAGCGTGAGGAAAAGGGAAAGCACATTTCAGAACGACGCTTCTATGTATTGGTATCGCAAGTGCATGTGGCATCCGGCATTGAGGCTGATCTTGAGCACAAGCACCACTCCAATTCCGGATGTCCCAGCCGCTGCTCGGCTTCGATGCAATGAACCATGCGGTCCACATGTATGAAGAGGGGAACTGGGGAGTGTGGAGTAGGGCTGGACAGGTAGGAGACAAACCAAATTCATCTTCTTTACTTACACAGGGCATCACAGGACCTAGGCGCCCTGGTTTGAAGACTCGCCGATGTGTCTACAGCCAGGGCCAGTCTTGGGCTGGGTCTATGACTCCCTAACCGTCAGGTTTTGTAGGAAGCACCAAATTGGCCGTTGTTCTGACGGGCGACGCGCCGAGGATGCACCCAGCCGTGTCGCGACAGCTGTCATCGATGCAGCAGAGCTGCCCAACAGAATTGGCCCTGACCCTCTTTTGAGTTCGTTTTGTGAGTTCGTTTTGTCATGCCAACCTTTTGGCGGTCAGAGGCGTGCTGGAATGCCACTGCCACAACGCATGGCAGCTGCCACTGCAGCGGCGGCTGCTGCAAAGACCCTTGCGAAGCCGGTCAGCAAGGAGGCCTTGAGCAAAAAATCGAGTGCACCTGTCCTCATCGAGTGCACTTCTTTGATGTGATGCCGATGTGCCGGTGGGACTTTCTAGCTTGTGCTTTCGCTGCGCAATCCCTCTGCACAGGCCATTGCTGAAGCCGTCGCTTAGCAGCAGTGGGTCTGGGCCTGGCTTTCTGGAGGATCGCGTCCGAGATAAAACATGTGCCCCCAAGTCATAAGCGGGCAACCAGAAATTGCAGGGAAGTCCCTGCGGCCAGCTACTCATACCAGGCTGCGGCTGCGGGCTTGGATACCAGCCACCTGCAGGCTGTCAACGCCGCTTTAGCCAAGGCACGACACTACGGCGCATCCCCTGCACGAACCTGTTTCTTCGCGTTCGACTCCCTGTGGGCTTAGCTCTGTCACGCATTGTTTAGCTGACTCAGATCCAAGCATCGACTCGGCCCGGGTGCCTCTGCAGGCCGCTCCTGAACGCCTTCCGACTCTCCTTGCCCTTTGGAATGCGGCTGCCGACGCCGCTCGCCATGCTGCGGAGCGCGGCCCGGAGAAGGCTCTCTGCCGATGTTTGCTGTTCAGATGATCATGGCATGTAGTTGCCCAGAAGTGTGGCATTCTCAGCAAGGTTATGACAAGTGTCCTCACTGGTCTTCCGTAGGATTTGGTTGCCGCCACAAACAAGTAGCAACGAAGTGCAGTCGGTGCTTCCTCGAACTGTTATCATTTATCGAGTTGAGCAATATCTGCAGGTGTCCCACGTTGTCGAGGCTGCTGCAGCGGCAGGCCTTTCGATCGAACAGCAGGCCAGCACGTTTGCACGTAGCCTTTGATTCGTGAACGATGGCTGTTTTTCCTCTTAAGCGAAAGGCAGAGGCTAACTGGCCCTGCATTGTGCAAAGGCTCAAGCAGCTGCTGCAGCTGCAGTGGCGGCTGTGGCATCCATGACGACTCCAGGCAAACGGTCGGATGTGGCCGGCTTGTGTTTCAGTCCGGTTACTTGCCGGCTTTCGAGGCTATAAATAGAGCAGGTTTTCTCTCCACAGTCGTGCTGGGTAGGAGTCCAGCAAATTTAGCAAGCATTCAGTCTCCGCTGCTGGCTTAGTGCTTACGGTGGTTCGGCAGGGAGACTGAAAGATTCGTCGAGGCCCGGAGGCCATCATTACGGCAGTGGTGAAGGCAGCAGAAGAGGCACGGTGCCAAGCGTGAAGTGTCTAAAGTGTGAGCTCTTTACCACTTGTTGTCAATTTGGTAGCACCTTGCAGACCAACCGCCGACACAGTTCACGACAGGGGGAGACCCCAGTCAGTGGGACTTTCAAGCCCTTGAGGCTGGAATGGCATTGGACAAGCAATCAGAGATGGTCGCTTGGCCCTTGATGGAAGCCGGGCTCTACCCTTCGCCCGCTGCCAACGATTGTCTACAAACTGTGGAAAAGGCTGTTTATTCTCTACAACCTTGCCGTGGCACAAGTTTGGGTGCAAGCATCATAGGGCCACAGGATTCGTGTGTCTGCAGCTGCCGCGTTAAGGCTGCCGTCATGCAGGTGCAGACTCCTGAGGAGCCTTTGCTGTGAGCAGCCAAAAGCCTTCGAGCCCAGCAAGCCAAAAGGGTTTTGGTGATTCCTGGTGAAGTGTGTTCATGTTGGGAGCAGGAGCAAGATGCTCTTCTTCACGTTCTTCACGCCGCAGAGCATCCTGCCTAGCCTTGTACGTGGGAGATTTGTTTTTCGACTTGGCTGCTTTGTCATGGAAGCTTTTGTGTGTGAACGTGGTTTCGTTGACTTCGGTCTTCCATTCCCCGGTTGGCATCTAGCACTTCATAGCATGTTTGCTGCAGACGAGCAAAGCATGGGGAGTCTTGCTGACACACATCACGGCCATAGCACTGCAGCAAAGGATGATGTACAAACTGATGATGCAGTACAAGCCTTTGAGGAAGAGGCAAGCATTGAATGGTTTGAATCCCAGGATCTTACCCAGGACCACGCCAGCCCCAGAGGAAGTGCCAGAGTTTGATGGCTCCTTCGTCGGCACAAAGTCGGCTTCTGGTTGCTGGTCTTAGAGGTCTTCTTGTCTGAGCCGTATAGGACCTGGAGTGTTGTTGCTAGGCAGCAGCCCTGCTGCAAAGACGGTGGCCGACACGATCACTCAGGCGCGCGACTTTTTTTTTCCATTCATGGCCTTCGGATCATGGGTGCAGTGCTCCAGTGCAGGTCATCCGGGATATTCCCGTGAGCCCGCAGCAGAAGCTCCAGGCTTCTCGGCAAACGGATCTGGGGAGCTTCCCGTCTTGTGCAAGCTTCCCTAGCATGGGCTTCTTTCAAAAAAGGCAGTGGGAGCGTTACTATGAAGTTGTCAGTCAACGGGGATTTGCGCCTGGCCGTGCTTGTTGGTCTTCCGCAAGCCGCACGGAAGTATCACTACCGTTCTGCCGAGGTGGTCTCCTCCGCCGCAAGGGCGGCGCAGGTAGCAGCAGAGCACTCTTCCACGACGGCCCCATGGCAGCAAGCAAGAAAACGTTTCTGCTTCTTTAAACTTCTTTCCGGCAACCCTTCTCGCTGTCTGAGACCTCCTTTGATGGCGTTCGGATGGTGGTGGAGGCAGCCGAGGCTGCGGGCATCAAGGCGGCCGCAGAATGTGCCAAAACCCAGTTTGGGGAGAGTCCTTCTCGCTGTTGTGAGCCGATCTTGGGAGCAGGATGCCGAGAAGCTGCAGAAGGTGCAGGAGAAAGCAGAAGAGCTAAGCCCAGAAAAGCAGAAGGCGGGTCCACAAAAGAGCCTTCTGCTAGGCCGCTAGCCGGCCCTGCTTGGCCGCTGGGCCAGAGCTCTGAGCCGAGGCCGCGGTGAGGACTTTGGAAGCCGGAAATTCCGACGCGATGCCGACGAGCACGCCATTCGGCTCGGCTTCTTCGTGGCCAGTCCCAGCTGAGAAAAGCTTTTGTGTCACCAAGGACAGCACCACATGCCGCCGCAAAGGTTGCAGCGGTGGTTAAAGCAGCTGCAGACTCTGGCGGGGCTCGGGGCGGCATTCTTGTCTTGTGCTTGGGTTCGTTTGGGCGGTGTTACCGGGTGCAGGGACAGAAAAAACTACACACACACTCAGGCACGGTGAGCGGCATGTGTAGTTTTCCGTGAACTCTATAGTGCCTTCCTTTGCGTTTGTTGGTGTGAGACTGCAGTATTCCGTGATGAATGAAGCATGTGAGCAGCATTTCGTTATTTGCATTATTGGTGATAGGCCACTTGCATCAATCACCCATATGCCTGACTTGCCTGGCTTGATGTCCCAAGCAGAAGAGATGGGCCTTGTGTGGCGAATGAGATTGCACTGTGGATGCGGCCTTAAGGTGTTTCGTTCAGTCTTGCCTTGCATTTCCAGGCATGACCGAGGAGCAGCAGGCGGAAGTCGCTGCGGCGGCTGCTGCAGCCGTATCGAAGGCAAGACTCGGCCTTTTTGAAGGAAATCGCATTTTTCGCCTGGCTTGTCGTGCGGTCGGGATGAGATGTGAGAAGGAAGGAGATGAGAAAAGGCGTTGCTGTAGGCAGCTCTTGTTGTCTTCGTCGGGTCACAGTCCGAACTCGCAGGCTGCAGAGCCCGCGCCCAAGGCCGGCAGGGTGACCAGTGCACATTTTTTGCGAATTTAGGCGCTCGGGATGTTTCAGTTTCTGTTCAGTCGTGGCATGCACATACGTTCTGCTTCGCTCTTGCCAGTCCCTGCTTCGGTGCCCTGCTGACTGCCGACTGTAGATTTGAAAATGCTGATTCCAAGTCCTGGGGCGGAGCGGTTGAGGATAGTGACAAAGTGCAGGAAGTCCGATGCTCGCCGAAACATTTCTCACCCGATGCTGTCCTAGCACATCCGACTGCTGAAAGCAGGAGGGGCAGGTCTCCGAGTTGATCAAGGCAGGACCAGGACAGTAAGGGGGCGCTGCTTGTGGACCGAGTGACCGGTGCATCGCAGGTCGCCAAATCTCTCGGCCTTGGCGACAGCGAGCCCTTTGGTTGCAAGGGCCAAGGCGGCTAAGGCTTTAAGGGTGCCTTCTGCAATGAAGCCTAGCAGGAAAGAGGATAGAGAGCAACGGAGCCACACCGCTCCAAGGCTTGAGGCGATCCTGGCTTCGGCGTCTTCGTTTACGCCGTCAGAGCTTGCGTCCGTGATTCGCACCATGCGTGCCGCACAGGATTTCTGAAATCGTTTCCATCTTGCGACATGTTTTGTGCACTTGGCTGGAAAGCTCCGCAGTTACCGGTGATCTTGACTTGAGCAGCTGACTGCCGTCAGAGTGCGGTGATGAAAAGGAGATGGCGGTGTCTGCTTTTGTCGATCCTGCCTCTTCACGGGTTGGTTCTGCAAGAAAGCATCCCAAAGCCGGCTGTCAGGGTCAGTCCGAAGCTGAGCCCTTTGAGCCCTCCCAAGAAAGAACGGAGGCAGGCCCCGGCTGTCTTTGGCTTTATGTGGTAGCAAGCCGCCCCAAACACACTCTCTGCGCAACAGGGCCCGGCGGACGAAGACCTGCCCATCCCTCGAGGTCGAGGCCGCGGCGGCGCGGCAAGAACTGGAGGCTCCGAGCAGCCCAGGAGCAGCCGAGCCGAGCCAAGTCCTGTCCAGGAGCCGAGCCCACCCGAGGTGTTTGTGCGGCGGAGGCGGGCAGTCATCACGTACGGATAGCTCCGCTGAGGGCCGATGCCTTATGCCTTGTCCTGTCTCAAGACTTGCTGAATGGCAGAGTGCGCTGAGTGAAGAGGCAGCGCACGAAGACTTGCCCCAGCCATGCACTTCAGCCACTCGGCCGAAGGGCAGTCAACGGTACAGATGTTCCTGGCCAAGTGGTGTGGTGCAGCACGCGAAGCCCCCGCAGCAATGGCCAAGGAACATCGCAGAAGACCGAGAGGCCCCTGAGCGGCAAGAACTGAGTCGAGTCGAGGGAAGGTCCAGAATCCGTTGTTGCCTATCTGAGAGGCCACCACAGAGTCCATCCGGCTGGAGTCGCAGGAAAAGGTCCAGGCGAAAGCTCACACTTTAAGGTCTTGGGGGTGCTGTGGAAAGTAAGACTTTCTGAAGCTCTGTTTGTCTCTTGCTCGGTGTTGAAGGCATGGCTATAGAATCGCGAGCCAGGCTCATAGGCCATCGAACCCGACCTCTCCACGGACCTCCGAGAGTGGCAGTCTGCCGGTTGGCTGCATCTAAGCTTCAGGGCGCTCCGAAGTTTCCTTCACACACCGTAGATACCTCTGTTGCAAAGCGTTTTTCCAGGCCTGAGGCCTATGCTTCGGCAGTGCAAACACCAAGCACCACGGCCTCATTGCCTGGCATGCCGTCGGAGACCCAGCTCCTCGCAACAAGTGCAGTGATCGAGGTTCGTCCTAGGCTATAGACATTTCTCTCGCAAGCTTCTCGAAGGAACATAAAGAGCTGGCGATGCGGTTCGACAATAGGACCGCTTCCTTCTTCGGCCGCTCAGAGGTTCAGGGTTTAGGATTGCACAAGTTGTGTCCAAAAGGCTGTGCGCTGAGAGTTCGGAGCTGGCGCATGGCAGGACAGGGTTCCTACGGCACTGTGTGCAGAGCCCTGGACACGGAGAACGGCTTCATCTTCTGCGTCAAGAAGTCCGTGGCCACTGGGACATCGAACGGCCGTGCGCAAGGGGGGCACCCTTTCATCAGATACCCGCCTGAGGTGACTGAAGATGACGAGGAGGGCCAGAGGTACATTCAGAAACTTCGAGAAGAGCTGGCCGCCTGGTCTGAAGAGCAGACCGTGCCCTTGTGTTCGAGCACTGAATTCAGGGCCTTCAGGGTTTAGGGTTCTGGCTGAAGCACCAGATGAACCGGCACCACATGTTGCAGGCGTGACGGTACCAAACAGCCTCGTAGAGCATCCTAGAGTCCTGGATCTGCCGGACTCCTGCCATGGCTCTTTCCGAAGCTGGAGCGGGACTGAGCCGTGTCCGAACGAACTCGGAGATTTCAGTTGGCCCAGAAGCTTTCTCGTTTTCGCAAATGTGCACACAAATGGAGCAGAGCCAGCCAAGCCATTGCCATCCAATGCAGCGATGCTTGCCATCCGCCAGCAGAGCTTGCATCAGAAATGTCGTCCCTGGGTTCGTGCACGAGGTTGAGTTACATTCGTTTGGTTCTTGTCACGGTTGCAAGGGAACCTGCATGGGTCATAGCCTTAGCCGGTCGTAGCAGCCGACGTGGCAAAAGCCCCCAGCCTCTGCGGTACATGCTTCCGGATGCCCACAGGAGATCAGAGGATTTGCTCACTGATCTGGCACCTGAGCTGGTGCGTGGATCCCGTCTCAGCAATATTCTGAGGGGCTTCGGGAGAGAATGGTGTCTGTCGGGTGGATCCGGAGCACTGACGTGGAGGCCGTCATTGTCCAGGCAATTGCAGCACTTCAGTCATGATTGGCAAACCTCAAGTGCCTGTCATTGATCCTCTAGTTCAACAGTGGTGCAGCAGCAATCTCAACCTCCCTATTGAGCATTGCACTGGGCATAGTCGGTGGATGGAGAGAAGTCATGCCTGATGGATGGATCTTGCCACGGACTGGTTGGTGGACAGTTGTGGCGGCTGTGGTCGGACTTCTGGTTCTGTTGTTCTGGCAGCACCTGCGAGAGTTTATTTTGCTGGTCCCTGGTTTTGCCCGCCTGGGTGTCAGTGATCCCTTGTCATGGTTCTTTCTGTTTCACTTTGCACAGTGAGCTTAGCAGGAAAACCATGGTCGTTGCTGTCCCACTTCCCGGGCATGAGACTGCTAGCTTCCTGATGAAGTGCAAGGAAGCGGATCGAATCAAGTCCGTGCCCGTGCAAATTTCGGTTATATGGATCCTCACCTATATTTCGGTATCCACCACATGGCCCACACTCCTGCTTGCACAGCGGTTTAACCACTACCTGTTTCAGTGGCACACACTTAGCGGGAAGATGCATTTGGGTCTGGAGTGCAGATTTGTGTGCTTTACCCGCCGTTGTTCTATGTTTGAATCAGATGATGTCCGACCTTGTACAGTTGCCGAGAGTCTTGCATGATTCTACGCACCGCCCAATGCTTCTGCTGCTCCAACCACCATCGGCCTTTGCACTGGAGCAGAGCTGGATTGCGAGCGGCAACTCATTCATGGCGTGCTGCGGATGTGGTCCGGTTTCCATGCGGATGCTGCAGATGTGGAGCTGTTTCAAGCAGTAAGGCACCTGATACCTTCGGTTGAGCAGAGGATTTCACGCAATGGCATGCTGATGCGCCCGCTGATCTCAGCCGCTGCAATCGGTGGTTTCTTTTCTGACTTCATTGCGAGAGATGGTCATGCTGTTTCACCACGGCTGGCTCAGCACATGCACCAATTTAGGCTTGGTGGGTCTCTACTTCCTTTTTAATTTTTATATGCCAGTCTTCATCCGCCGTCTTCTGCTGACCCTTGCAGCGCGAGGGAGCACGAATGCACAATCGAATGTTCCCGTGACTCGCAGGATTCGGGAAGAAGCAGTGATGGTGAGGACACTCAGGAGAAAAAAACAATAGGTCACACGGTCTCATTGTGTTTTCTCCTGAGTGTCCTGTCCTCCATCGCTGCTTCGCCGAGTCCAGAAAGACAAAAAAACCAGCAAGTGCCGTGAACCGGACCCTGAGCAGACTTTGGTTTTTCACGGTTCAAGTCTTTGGCAGGTGCTACGCAATGGATAACTCATCCATGGCGCAGTGCATGCCAAAGACTTGAATGAACTCCGACACCAGCCGGTGCAGCATGGCAGCTATCGGCTACATTTGAGGAGTCATCTTCGTCCAAGAGCCACAAGGTCTCCCGGAGACCTTGTGGCTCCTCAAAAGCTGAAAAAGTGTCTCAATGGCTTAACGGCTTCGCGCCTTCGCGAGAGCGCTGTGGGGCTTCCGAGCCTCTGTTGGACTCTTGTTGTCCGATGCTAAGCTCGGGATCGTCCGAAGGAAGGCTCATTCTGTTGTTGGACTTGGAAGACCCACTATTGCGGCGGTTTGGCCTCGACAAGACCTTTTTCAAGACTTGCAGCAGTCTTTCGCGGCTTGTTGGAAAAGGGCGGAACATGTAGGCATGCAGGCATTCTCATGCACTTCTCGATTTGGCCCGGACACTTAGAGATGCAAGCTGGACAATGGCAAACTCATCCGTAGAGCCAGTCTCCGAGATGCGTATGAATGCGGAAGTCGGGAATAGCCCGAAGTGGAGCTTTTTTCGGAGGCCTTGGGCATGTCTACTTTTCGCCGAGTCCTAGCTAAGCTTCTGAGGACATTTTGCGCTCCTTGCGGCACCCGAACATCATATGCAGCTGGGGCTTGAATCTGTTTGTGCTTTCGCTGTCGTGTTCCCATGAAGGGCGAGCACTGTGCGGTCCTTCCGGGCCATGAGGTTGCTACGGCCACGAGTACTGCAGCGACACCCTGTGCTCTCGGGGGCCTCTGGCGATTACGTGTGGGGGGGTGGGGGCATCTTGGAGTTTCGGGAAGCATTAAAAGCATTAAAGGAGTCCTTCTTTTGGGAAGTCGCGCGCTTCCGATCTCTTGGAGTCATGGCCAAGCACGGCTCGTCGAGTGAGGTACATTTTTATGGAATTCGCAGAGGGAGGGCAGGGACCCCCAGACGACCTTAGACGACGCTCTCTCTCTCTCTCTCTCTGGATGTGATGGCGATGAGCCTGGCAAAATCAAGCTTGCAGCCGGGGTGGCCACACCAAGCTCCTGTTTGCAGCAGGAAGAGTGAAAGGGAGTGCGTAGGCTCCCCAAGCTGGCGAAGCATTGGAGTCCCTTGAGCCACCGGGGAATGAGCGGCCCCAGGTCCTTGGCTACCATGCTCAAAGAGTTTGGTGCCCTCGACGGACGGGCAATGCTTGTTTTGGGGCTTTGCCAGTATCAGCACCATGCTGGCGGCCTCACGGCCCCACCTCGCCGGCGAGTAGCTCGCGGCTTGCGGCGCCCGTGGTCTCAAGGTTTAAGCACAACAATAGAAGAACAGCAAGGTTTGAAATGATGCGCCTAGCTCCACGATGCATGTCCAACAGCCCATGCGGCTGACCCTACCCCATCCTGCCACAAGGCTGCAGTGAGAAGTGTAGCCGAACACGATTTTTAATCGAAGCAAAGTGATAAGATCATCAGCCGATTGGCTTCGCCGCGCGCTAGCATCGACATTCAAAGACGGGGCCTCAGCTACGTCAGGAAATGACAGAGGAAGCGGCGTGAGCTCTGGAGAACTTCGATGACTGAGCTTGCATACTGAAGGCTACTGCGACTGTCGTGCGAGCCGCTTTTTTCCCCCGGCGATCCCAAGGCTAAATGGCCTCGACAGCAGCGCCCGGCGGCCAGGAGATGGCAACCGTCCTCCTCGGCCTGATGACCACTTTCATGTTCCCACCCTGGGGTGTCACGGTGTGTTGTGCCGCTCTGTTCTTGAGGGAGCTTTCTGGTGGCGACAGGTACACGTCGATCGTCTTCGGCTGGGGCTCATGGCAAGCGCTTTTGGAAGAAGATGCTTGGCAGCAGAAGCAAAGGCTCGAAGAGCTCAGTGCGTCTCAAGTTCCAGCCGTGCAACCGAGGACGGCGTCTATCAATCCCTCTGCTCAGGCCTGGGTGACTCGCAGACGCCGATTCGGTTTCAACGTTTCGTTGAACGCGTTGGCAGGTGACGGTTCATGCGACGACCGGACCAGCCGCATGATCCTGCTGTTCACCGTGGCGCAGTTTGGATGCTTGCCCTGTTCTCTCGTCTTGTAATGCTGCAGTTTGCTTGAGCTAACGAACACTTGTGTGAAACAGGGCAAGCAATCGCGCATGCAAGGATGGGGGCTCTCCGTCACTATTATGGGCTTTGCAATTGACAGAAGCGGACCTCGCTTTGCGTGCGCGGTGGGTGGACTGCTGGAGTCGACCGGGCTGCTTCTTCTAGGCTTCTGGGGCAAATGCAAAGCAAAAGTAGGAGCGATGGCGAAAAGGGTGTGACTTTTTCTCATTCTTCTGCTGCAGAGCCAACTTCAGGAACGGCACGAGGGTGCCACGAGTCCGTGGTCGATGGCTTCCTCGTAGGAGTTTTGCTGGTCTCCATCGGTGGCGGTGCGATCCAGGTCTGAAAGCAGCTTAGCGTGCTACACATCGGATCCAATGTTGCGATGGGAATTCAGCAGCAAGTGTCGAGGGTGACTTTAGAGCTCTTGGACCTAGTGAGAGTGCAGCTTGTCAGGTGCAGTCCATGAAGCTTCCATTTCTGGTGAACGCCCAGTTCTTCCCTCTCGTGATGACCATCGCCAACTGCTTAGACGATGCCTCGGCAAGCATTCCACTTGGCCGGGACCTTGGCGAGGGCTTCGTGCCTTGAAGGCACCATGGACGCAGGATCCTTGAGGTCCAAATGCCGGGCTTTGTATGAACTTTTGGCTTGTGCATGGAGGCCATTACCAACTCTACCTCAATGGCTTCAGCCGCTTTTGGATTTTCAGCTGCTACGGTGGATTGCTTCTTGGATCTGGTCGAGCTGCGGTTGGTACCTGAGTCTCGCAGTAGGCCCTTTAGCTAAGAAGCGGCAACGGAGGTGCTTGGCACTGTCTGCAGCGTTGGGCATTATTTGGTGGGGTGCCGTGGATGCATTGTATAATGTCGGCAAGCAGACGAACAAGACATGTTGCTCAACCGCCTGCGCTTCCTTCCTTGTTTTAGCAAGCATGCGCGTGCCTCATTGATCTTGCAAGGTGGTTCCAAGCCTCCTGAAACAGGCATGCATGAACCTACTCATCCTTGGATGCTCTCGCCCTCCCGATCTGTGGTGACCGGGTGCTGACAGCAGCTCGCAACTCCCAACATAACAATCGGAATCTGACTTGTTTTCCATTGTGTTGATCAGATCCTGAGCAAACCCCACATCGAGCTCGGACCAGGAATGCTGTTCAAAAACAGCGTCTTAATCCGATGCTGAGATTTGCAGTGCGCCGTGCTGCGATTGAATTATGATGTGCTGCAACGTCGTGGCAGCATGAGGTTAAGAAAGGGCCCGCAGCATATAACTGAGACTTCAGCACAGCGCACTAGAGGCGCCTAAAACTGAGACCCTCGGGGTTGGGAGATTGTGAGCCTCAGAAACAGAGCACGTTCTGACACTCAGGTGGGCCGAATCGTCGACTCCGTGCCATCAGTATCGCTGAGTACCAGGATGGGCAGGGATAGCGGATAGGAGCCACACTCGCATGATAAGCGTGGCGCGAGACTTGTAGTGACAAGAGGTGGTGTGTGATCACCGACGGCACCGCACAGGAGAGAGAGCGAGAGAGTCAGAACTGGAGTGTTCCATCGTCCGTGATGTCAAGTTGTTTTGTTCCGTGGATGCAACGGAGGACACCCACTACCTTGTGAAGTGCTGATGTCAAACTAAGCACGTTGTAACCTTCACGAACAGACTTGCCTGAAGAGGATACCCCAAATATTGGGGACACCCCTGCTTTCGAGGTTGTCCTTATACTAGCTCCAATGTGTTTGTTTTGCCTTCAACCCTGGGGGGTCAGTCTACTGACGTCGCATGAGCGACACTAGACTCGCTCCTCTGCGAGGACCAAGGGCTTGGCTGCGCACAGTACGTGGGGGGGGGGGAAGCCAGTAACAAGCAAGCAAGCAAGAGTCAGAACTGGTGGCCGTGTGCAGCGGGCGAAACCCGCCAGTGCCCAGCAAAGAAAAGCAGCGGCAGCGGGGGGGAAGGGTCTGTGACCCAAGTTGGTTGCTTGTGGTTTCCGCTTTTCGGGTGCACTCGGGCCATGTATTCCGGGCACACCGCTGAGATTCATCCGCCTCTTTAGAATTGAAGAGAGGAAGAGAGAGGAAGGGCGCAACGAGGAAGTTCGAGAGAGAGAGCAGCTGGGAGGCCGAGGACGCTTCGAAAAGACCTCGGCTCCATGGGCTCCCGCTTCTCCGGCAGCTGCCTAGAAGAAAAGGGGGGGTTTTAGGTAGGAGAATGAGTAGGAGTCCAGTAGGAGAGTAAAAGGGCCGAGTGCTTCTCTTCTTTTTCGCTGCCCGAGTCCGAGGCTTGCCACCTTCGAGTTCGCCTTCGTCATGCTGCCACCCGGTCTGCATCGAAGTGTCCCACTTCTCGCGAGCGCAGCACAGCGCAGCTGCGAGGCGAAGTGTGGAGTTCTTTCGGAGCAACCTGTACGTGGGCCTGAACAAGGAGTGGCTGCGATCCCTTGGTGATGCAGTGCCTGGTCGGAATTGGCTCGAACCTCAAAAAATAAATGAAGCCTTTGCTCTTATGTTCAGCTCGGCAGGTGGCCAACAGCAGAGCATTAACAAGAGCTCAGGTGAGCCATGTTGAACTTTGCAAGCCTGGTCTTGTCTGTTTTTGCGTTGTCTAGGTCTTGTCCTGTATTGCTCATAGCGAGTGGCCGACTTTTACGCCCTGCTGGCAAATCTTGTCTTGGCCCCCCCCCCCCCCAACAGATACATGCGGAGTGCGGCTACGGGCAAGACTCAAGCTAGGTGCTGCCAGACACAACCCAAGCTTCAGCAACATCCCAAAAGCACAGGGAGGGTGTTACTTCCACTAGGAGCACATCGAAATCCGGCAATGATTCAAATCCCACCACAAACGGCAACGAGCACACCCGCAAGAGGCAGCCTCAACATCCAAGAGGCATGAGCCGATTATGCTACACCGTACAAGTATCGAAGTCAGTGGCAGTCATGCTGATGCCTATTTAACGTGAAACTGTAAAGTCTCGCAACACTTTTGAACGGCCTGCTTGAGTCTTTGGAGTGTTTTCCGGTCGAAAGCTTCTTGGCTAGTGGAGTTCCTTCTGCTTGTCCGTGCTGGCCTGAGGAGACGCACAACAGCTACCTCAAGATGTTCACAGCATCTCTTCCACTCGCGATGTTCTTTGTCCCTCTTTTCAACCGATGCCTTGCCCGCGGCTTCGTCTTCACCTTCGTGGTCTCCATTGCTTTAGGCTTGCCGGGGTCTTCTGAAAAATAAGGGGCCTTTCTGGAGCACTGCTGTATCTCACCTCCTGGATTCCACTCCTGGCCTCTGGCCCGAAGGCGAACTCTGGAACTTGATCGCCTTAGTCCCGGTCCTGGAGATTCAGGTGGGAAATGTGGGAAAGGCCACAAGATAGCAGCTGCGATAGCCGGTGTGAGCCCAGATTTGTTTAGGCACGGTCTTCGACGCACATGTGTAGCGGCTACTAGCGCAGGTCGTGGCTTTCGTGGCTTACACGAGCTGGCGGGCTTTGCCACTCGGCACCGAGGGTATCAGATATAGCGGTAAGGCCCCGTGATGACACTCAACTGGTACTCATGAAGAGGTCGTAGGCTTCGCGTGCTCCAGAGAGAAACCTGCGGCAAATCCTTGCACTGCCGACGCGCAGTAGGTGCTAAGCGCAAAAGGCACTAAGCCATTGAAGCAACTGAGCACCACGCTGGGCCTGGGTTGCACTCCGACAAGGCATTCCCACCCGAAAGCATTTGTTGAGACGGTCGTTGCGCAGATTCAGGCTGTTTGCCTGCCTGTACGTCTTTATCGGGCACAGTGGCTCCGCAGCAAAGCGATGCAGACTGGGCACGTTCTCACTTGTCCACGTCGTCAGCTGCTGCTTCGGTGAGGTTTCGGGAACCGAAGCTCCGGAACCATCAGCGCCCTGACCACCATCGGCGGCTGTGCCATCTCCGGCCTTATCTGGCCGTGCGCAAAGCTTTCGACACCCAGCTTCGGATTCACCGAAACCTAGAGTGAGGTCATCGAGATAAGCCAGGCATGAACTTGCGATGCCTTTTCGTGTAATTACGAAAGGAAAGCGCTGGCCGGATCCCTGGCCCCTCTGAACATGCCACTTTCGCTTGAACTAAGCTGGAGTTTTTTTGTATTTTTCATTATTCCTGCCCCAAGAAGCTACTGGCCCACTGTCCCTATGTTCAGGCTGTCCCTGCTGCTCAGCTTGCCCCTGATCCTGATGACGCTGTCTCTTCAAAGGCACCTTCGCTTCTTCCCGGCCGGGGAGCTGCCCAAAGCCGGCACCGGCACCACCGGAACCACCGGGACGGCCGGGACGCAAGAGCGGCTCTTGCCATAAGCGGCCCCATGGCGGTGCAAAGAGGTTTTGCATCGGCTTCGCCTTGGGGAGTTCGCACGTTCGCGATGCCTGGTCGATATATGGTGCCCAGAATGCGCAGAAGCTTTGGGCGATCCCAGCTTGCATTGAGCAGCTCGCCTCGCCCCGGCCTTGGCGCGATCGGACTGCATTTAAGCACAGCAGGCTTCTTGAGCCTCGCGAAGAAACTTTTAGCAACCTCACACGTTTTGCCAGAACACAAAGATCCAGTTCTGGGCAGCCCAAGACCAGCCTTCTAGACCGGGGCTAGCCATTCACTGAAGCAACCCTTTGCCACTTCCTTTGATTCCTTCTGCTTTGTTCAGGAAGGCTGCTTGGGGGATTCGAGGTTTTTTCTCTGAGAATTGGCTGGCCAGGCTTCAAGTGTTGCCCATCCTGGGAAGTGTGTCAATATCAACCCGAGGGTACTCGAAATTGAAGGCAGGCAGCCCAAGCAAGTGTTGCAATTTTTTGTCACTGAGCATTGTACAGATGCCGGCTGAGACCTCGGAATGCTCTTTGCAGTACTTCCGACTTATTGGGTTCGAGTGCGGCGCAGCTTGTATGCTCAGTTGTTCTGAATTACCTCCGAGTTGCTCCAGGCAGGGAGTAAGGGCCTTGCCGAACACTCTTTCGAAGATCATTCGATCAAGAGTGGGCGGTCCCCCGGATTGCCTCCTGCATCTTCCTTTGGCTGCAACGGGCCATCTCTGTGAGCAGCTGAGAGAGGGGGCGCGAAGTGATGGGGTTTGCGATGCCCATCGGGCTCGAGATGTGAAGGGTTTCCGCATCTTGTGATTGCGTCGAAAACGTGATAAAGCTGTTGGCCGTCATTCCATTCAACGGTTGGCCGGGAAGTTCATCTGCTGAAGTCCCCGTTGTGCCCCAAGTTCACATGAAGCTTTGCAGGACTACTCCTGCGCAATACAGTTTTGGGAATGCTGCAAGGCTGGAAGTGATGTATGCCAAATGCAGATGCCTCATAAGAGTGCCTTTCTTGGTGCCTTCCGCGCTAGGCTTGGCCTACCTTCACACCAGAAGCCCTGTTGTCGTTCACAGAGACATCAAGAGCGCGAACGTGTTGCCTGGCGCTTTGGGGGTGCCTCAGGGCTTGTAAGCTTGTCGCTGGCGCCAGCATGGAGTCTCCTAGACGTTCAACGCAGGCGCTTATGGGAGCTTTGACAGAGTCTTTCTGCATATAAATTATATACACACTCACACACACACACAGATGCATACATACGTCTATGTATGTATGTATGTATGTATGTATGTATGTATGTATGTATGTATGTATATATATATGTATATATATATACACATGTATGTATGTGTGTATGTATGTATGTATGTATGTATGTATGTACATACATAGAATTGAATCTCGCATAAGTATATACTGTGTAGGTGAATACACACATGCAGACAGATAGAAATACACAAATCATGCCAAACTGTACAAGCCGATTCATGAACCAAACATATGCATGCGTGTACTGTATGGTGTTGTACTGTACTGTATTGTATTTTATTGTCTGCTCTCCATCTCAGGCTTTTGGACTTGGACTTCAACGTGAAGCTGGCAGATTTCGGTTGCTCGAAGCGCTGTCAGGAGGAGACCTGTTTTCTTTGAGTTTGGGTTTCGGGTTAATGGTTTTTGGTTTGGGGTGTGAGCAATATTTGTTGCATAAGTGGGAAGCATAATGCTTGCAGATTGTTGGCTTTTCAAGGAATGCAATGACGGTTGCGGCAAGCCTGTCGCTGTCCGCTCATGCCGTTTATAACAGTCTCATCGTTCAGGGTGCTGCAGATGTCAGCTTTGTTGGAAGGGTTGGGGAGCATGGCTGAGTTCGCTTTGGTGGAGGGAGAGAGACTTTGGGAGGAAGGCTTCTTGGAAAGTGAAAGTTGGCTTCGCATTTGTTGACAAAGGACCTCACCACGACCTTCCGAGCCACTGGGTCGCTGCTTTGGATGGCGCCGGAGGCGAGGCCCCAGAACAGAAACTCTGGCGGGTTGCGGGGGGAAATCGTTAGAAGCCGTGCAGAGCTGCTTGACTTGCCTGTGCACACTTCCTTGCTGGTGGCTCAAGACTGCTCGAGATGCCCAAGGCATGAGCAGACTATGTTTATGTGTTAGTTAGTTGAGTTTAGGTGCTGTTTTTCAGGGCGCCGCGGCGCGACAATTTTCGAGGAATTTCGACCACGGCCGCCCATGGAGGCACAATGCCTTGGTCGGTCGGAGAGTGCACGCAGCGCTCGCCTTTGCTTCACAGCCGTCGCGCCCGATTCCCCCGAGAATCCGATCTTCCTACGCAGACCTTCGCCTTGGAGCGACCCGGGAAGAAGCCCAGAAAATGAGAGCTCTTTCCGTAACATGCGATCCTGGGCCGAGCTTCAAATTCGGCCTGAGGAGGCCGAGGAGGGCGCCGAAGCCGAGAAAGCTTGTGACTCCTGCGGCCGGCTGCTCACTTCAGGCCGCAATGTCGCTGTGAGTTTGGTGGATCTGAATTTGATCATCGTGGGAAGCGGACCTGTGGCGGCAGAGATCCTACATCGGAGACGACTTGCGGGCGGCCGGGCATGTCTGTTATGGACCGAGCAGATGCCGGTTCTCTCAAACATGGCTACTCTTAACCTGCACCCCTTGTCTGAGCTTCGTAGTGCTGTCTTCAGTCTTCGCGACTTCTGTTGGCAGCCCCCAAGCATGAGTCGCACCAATGTGCGTGAAGTCGAGGAGCTCAGGGCGGCTTACGGATGCTGGTCATCTGCAGTTTGTAGGCAGGGCCCCGACATAGTCGCATTGGAGGACTGTCAGGTCTACTCCATCACTCAGGATGTTCGTGGTCGAGCTTGTGGTATTGAGGTCCTTGACCGCCTTGAGGGCACGCAGCTCTGGTCTATGTGTGGAGCGGTTGTCTTTGCTGGAGAGGCTTTTGGTGAACAGCTGAAGGCCACGTGCGACAAGATGCATCTCGCACATGAGCTAGATGTGAGCGTGCGCTTCGAGGATGCGAAGCCATTGACCACGATGAGTGCCAGGACTTGCTTCTGGACTTGTCTGTACAGTTTCGTCCACTTGACCATCTACTGCTGGGTCATGCGTATCTATGAGACCCCGAACACGCCAGATCAGTTGCCATGGTGGCGTGGCGCTTTCACCGTAGGGCTTTTCCCATATGGCTTTTCGGCATATTACGTTTATTGGGCAAACTGCCTTGCTGGCACCAAGTTCCCATTGGGAATGCGCCTATTTGGGGGCCTTTCCGCGTGCATCCTGTTCTCTATGTTTTTCATTTGGTCAAGGCAGCCAACAGGAGATTTCCGCCCTCTCTTCTCTGCCTTCTTTTTCGGCACTGTCGCATACGCCTTGGTCTCGGTAGTCTTTCATGCGGTCTGGTACACTTGCTGTGCCCGCTTTCAGATTTCCTCGAAGGAGGACTCTGATAACAGCGAAGGCGGTGAAGCAGCGAAGTCAGCTCACAAGCTCAATCACGTTCTGTGGACTTGCGCGCATGTCCTCTTTACGTTTGGCAGCTGGATACTCTTGTACTTTGTCTCCATGTTGTTCATGAACCTCGAGAGCTACTCGAAGTTTTGGGCGGCTGTGTTTCTGACCGTGGCCACGAATTTGACAGAGAAGCTTGTAAGCAGCATGACCACCTGGCTTTACACCGGCCTTGTTTACAACGTTCGCTCTCGGCCGGATGGGAAGGGAATCCTAGGCGATCAGCGGAAGCATCTCATGCTGCCGGTTGCACTGACGCACTCCTTCTGCGAGAGTGCACGCCTTGTGAGCCTGCTCTCTGTTGCTGGGTTCTTGTTGAGGAGATGAACTTAGGTTACCATAATGATAATGTTTTCTGTATATCCCGTTGTGGTAGCGCGTTCCTTGGCAGCAGCGCAGGTTACCATGTGCACTGGTGGATGGTGGTGGCCACTCAATATTGCGCTGAACCTGAGCGTGAATCTGCTCGAGCGCAGCTACGGCACCCTCAGTTTCCTGACCTATTTCTTTCCATTCCTGGCCAGGTGGTGGCTCCCTGGCATCGGCATGGTACTGCATCAGGAGGCAAAGCTTTGGTCAGGATATGCCCAGTATGTCTCCGTACTAGCCTTCTTGACGGCAGATATCATCTCGGGCCATTGGGCCGACTCAGTATTCAACTTTGAGTCCATATGCCTCATGATTACATGTGTGCTCGCCGAGCTCGTCGAGGACTTCGTGATCTATTTTAGGATGCGGCCGAACAGTTACTGGCGGCAAGCTCTTCATGAAGTTTATGCTGCGCATCCCATCCTGCATCCACGGCAGCTCTTGTGCATCGACAAGGTTGGAGTTACATGGGCTTCGCCACCGCTCTCGTTGCACGGCACTGGTATCTTGGACTTCTGGGAGGTGGCCACGTTCATGCTTCCAGCCACCTATTTCTCCTTGGTACTGATAGCCCTGCTTTTGGGTGCTGGCTACATGCATGGAGTCTGCCCGGGGCCTTTGCCAGCAGAGATGCGCCTTATGGATGGGCTGTCTTGGACCAGCCCTCTACGATGCAAGTAAGATGCACGAGAAAAGCAGGGAGAGGATGAGCTTATGCTATAGCATGAGTCTTGTAGATACGTGTCTTCTGTCTGCGGGCTATCTGCTCCTCCGCGAATACTCGGTTCATCCGGGTTTCGAGTGGTTGCAGCATGATGCCAGCTGCTAGTTGCTTGCTGGATGATTCAAGCTGCGTTTTGTTTGGCAGAAGCATCCTCACGTGGAACACTCGAGGTGGCTGCTCAAAGGCAGACGTGGGGTTCAGGATGTCGGGTTGGGGTTTGTGGGGCAAAAGGATTTCTTGTGGAGTGCTGGCCTCCCTTGAGCTTTTGAAGGCCGCGGAGGTTTAGCAAGCTGCGGGGAAGGCTCTGGCAACTCCGTCCGCTCTTAGCGGCTGTATGTTGCATTCGCCAAGAATGCCTTGCGAGGACAGGCTTAGTCACCTGGTCGACGGTTGCATTGGTTCGGAGGATACCTCGTCATAGCATCTCACAGTCATAACATGTCATAGCTGTATGCCTGCTGGTTTGAAGCGGGAGCAGTGGCCCTGTCCTCAAGACCTGACTGCATGCTTTGCGACACAAAAGAAGGGAGCTAATGCTTTTATATCTTGCGCAAGCTCTGTGCGGACTCTGCTTGGAAGTTGCCGCAAAGTTGTGCTCGCAAAGCCAGTGGAGAAGCCGAGTCTCTCGAGTGTGCGGGAAGGTCGTCTTGGGGACCACTGGCTTCGGGCGCAAGGTGCAGGGTAGATGAAACAGGGCCCGCGCAGTGCGATTTCTGGCATTGGGACAGACGGGACAAGCTGTGCCTCCTGAGTTGGCGGCGAAGGCAGACATTTGGAGCTTCGGCTGCACGGTCCTGGAGGCTATGACGGCGGAGCCTCCATGGGGCAAAGGTCTGAGGCTTATGGACAAGGCTTTCAAGCAAGGAGATGGAACCTGGGGCTTGCGATGAAGACACCATTTCCAGCCCCGCGGTTTTGAGGTGCCATTGATGGCGCTCCTGCAGCGATGAGGCCGAAGAAGCTCTTTTGAGGAACTGAGGAATCGCATTCATCATCGGTCTGATGAAGCAGTTCGAGTACTAGTATTTACACGTCGCATTGTACGCCAGGGTGCAAAATTGTCGTATCAATGTTTCAGCGAACACATGGCTGCACACCCGTGCTAGCATTGACGATGCACATGGAGAATGGTATCGGACCGTTTTGTTGCTCTATGGGGCCTTCGCCGATTAGGGACATGCTGCAACAGGACGCCTTGAACCGACTGTGACAGAGTGTGTAGTTCAGTCATAAACATTTGCTTCTCGACCATTGATTCACAAGTTCCAAGCTGCGTTCAGCGAACTGGAGGCAGGTTCCGCAGTAGTCACTGACAAAGCAGCAGTACTGAGCCTTCAAGCCGTTTTCACTGGCATCCACGTACGCCTAGGCGTGAATGAACTTGCATCCGGATTTCCTATGCCTATACTGCCGTGCCTCCACAGCTTCTGCTACGAGTCGTGTTGACATGCGCCCTCTGACATCCCTCAAAGCAGCATTCATCATTCTCGACATACGCAGTCCCGGCAGCCGAAAGAGCGCTGAAACACATTGACAGGAAGATTGGCTACTCGACCGATACTCCACCCATCCCCGCTCCTCGGAAGCAATTGGCTAACGGGGCTTCCAACGGGCAGAGACCTCTCTGAGCTAAGGAGGGCACTTCTTCCGGCCTCCTGGCCTTGCTCCAAAGCTGCTTTCAGCGAAGTGCCGATCTCAGGCCGGCTCAAAGGGTGGGGGAGTGTTTTTTAACCGAACACTTCTTGGTCCTCAAACCTTCTTTCGACTTCAAAAGGGCTCCTGGTTGCGGCAGGCCTACGGCCACCGAGCTCCTGAGCCCGTCGCCGAGTTCAGCTGAAACCCTGCGCAGGGGCCCAGGCTCAGACGGCTGAGAGTGGAAGTCCTCAGGCTGTGAGTACTTCATGCCGCCGGTCAAGGACAAGTAAGACACTCACAGGGGAGGGGTGGGGGCCGCCTCGTCTCCTCTCGTGCCGGGCCAGGCCAAGAAAGAGCCTCAATGAGGCCTCTAGGTCAGGTATCCTCAGCACGGTCCGTTGCCTTCAAAATCCCTAGCGGTGTCATGTGGGTGTGCTGGCGGCCATGCGGTCTTCTCCGGCAGGACCGGCGTCGACACTATGAATCGCGCGTCGCATGGACCTAAAACGGCCCAAACCGGGGTCGTGAGGGGAGCCTGCTGGCACCAGCATTCAACACCGCTTCTTTCCATGCTCGAAATGTGGACTTCTCATCCTGCAGGTCGATAGTTGGGGCTTGTGAAGATGCAGCGTGACACCCCGCCTTTTTCATCATATCGTGGCTTGAGACAAAGATATTTCAGACTGTCCTGCGCACTTTCTAGGCAGGCATTCCTTGCAACAGAGTTCGTCGAAAGCCCCCCCAACCCAACTGGTGGAATTTCAATTCTGAAGAGTGGGAGGGTTTGCAAGAGTTTTCTTGCGGCAGGTGGAGCTACAGAGAACGTCAGACATGCGAAGTACATCGCAACATTGAGGGTGTGCTATCGAGGGATGTGTAGTTCAACACGACTCGTGCAGAAATCACAAAACCGCCGGCTCCCTCCGTTTCGCAGCTGTTTGAGCCTAAGAGCTTCCAGCAATCCGGGCACCTGTTCTCGGAGATGGCAGAGCCCCGCGGCCCCACCCCAAGGCCTAAGGCGCTTAAAACGAAGGGAAAAGACTTTGCAGACAGAGAGAGGCTGGCCTTTTTGGGGTGGGCTCGGCCCGGGCAGTAGGATGATAATTCGACTCTTTTTTGCCAGTGGTGCAGCGCAAGGCGGCAAGGCAGCGAAGGGGGCCAGGACGTAGTCCAAGAAGCTCGGGCGACCCTGCTCTGCACCTGCAAGGCTTTAGGAGAAGATGGGGTACAAAGCTGAAGCCCATCTTTTTCGCCTGGACCCGAGCCCTGGCATATTTTAATGCACAGGCACTGAGCTCAGCTGCTTGCTGCAACCTCTCTTTTTTCTGCTGATGGGCGTGCTGGGCCAGAAGTGCAGCTTGCTTTACTCCGGAACGGTTTTTCTCCACGAAACCTGCTTTGATGGCCCCCCTTTCTTAAAAATCATACCGTGACCGATCCAGGTCCAAGCCAGAGAGCTTGACTGCCGTTCAGGTTTCAGTCGCCCAAAGTTTCGCAAAGATGCTCCCGAGCCCTTTCTTGGCACATGGCTTGTTCTCTTACAAGCTGCTTAGTGTCAAGTGCGTCGCTGTCTCGCGGTGCTTAGCTCGGAATCCGTCCCGGGTTTTCGGTTAGGTTCCTTCTGTGAGTCAATGGTGCACGCACACCCACGCAACTGAACCGCCGAGAGCCGGTACTAGTAGCAGCTGCCTTCCTTGCAGGGCACGGTCACCGCAAACAGGTTGACAGGAGTCTGGAGGCACGCTTTCTGGAGGAGGTTCAGATGAAACCTCCCAGTCCTTGGTCGTGGCATAGCGCGAGCATCGCCGCGTGGAGAATACGAGAGTGTAGGATAGCGCAGGAGAGCGTAGTAGCGTAGCCTTGCTCGAAACGGCCCGTCAGCACGGATGCGCTAAGCAGAGCGGCTCCGAAGCTTGAAAGTGCCCTCCAAGCCGTCAGGCGCGGCTTCCGATGTTCAGATGATCTCAGTCTCCCTTGCTTTTTGGATCTCCTTTTGGCGTCCGGTCCGCGTCCTGTGAAGAGGGAGGCATGGAAGTTTCACCCCGGAGGTGTAGGAAGAAGGCTGCGACCAGGGCAGGCAGCGGCAGCAAGTCGACACAGGCTTCAGGTCGTCCATCACGAGGCCTGGGTCGTTTTGTGTTTCTGTGGACACCATCCCTTGGAAGAGCGACGAGGCATCCGCCTTCGGAATCTAGCCCTTGAGGTTATGCAAGCAGTCTGAGAATAGACTTGCCAGCAAGATGCTCTGATGTCCACAGAGCCGCGGTAGCACAGACCTTAATTCGACAGCTTCGCGAACGTTTTAGTCGTGCCGAGGAGGACGGGTCCCGCTATATCCGGTTCTTGCAAAGGACGTTGGATGTGGTTGTTTTTGCTACGGCCGCTACGGGACCACCTCCCGGAGTTTAAACGGTTGCACTCACTTCTATGCTACCGGTGGCTTTATGGCTTTTTGATGGAGTCGGGTTTGAGGAAGTCGAGAGGGAACTGCTCTACAGTAGCCATCGGTAGCTGGAGATCCCTCCTTGGGGAAGGGGGTGCGCGTGGAGAAAGGCAGACCGTTCACCCTGAGTTCACAGGGCCCAGAAGCCCTCACGGAATCCACGGCCCAACCTTGCATGTCCTTTGGATTGGCCCCTTCTTCGCGGAATCTGGCTCGCTGTGTTCTGAGAATACCTGACAGGTAGGCTCCACCCAAGAAGGTGCAGACCAAACCCCAAACCACGGTACGGAGTTGCACAGTGAGTGCTGTAGTGAACTTGGCCATGGTGGATTACTCCAAGTGGAATGACCTGGTCATACACTCAGTTCCAGTGGTGCGGCCGTCAGATGCCGAGATTTTCTGCTGGCTTAGGATGTCAGTGATGATGAAGAGCGACGCCGACCTCACGTGTCGAAGTGACCGGGCAGCAGTCCTGAGCATTCTAGGAGGTCCTAGCAGGTGGAGAAGGGCCCAAAGTTCGGATGCCAGGTTCGACACTCCGCAGACCGTCACAATCGGACGCCAGGCCACTGGAGAATTACGGTCTCGTCATGGGGGTGCAGCGCAATGGACGATGTCCGGTACACATCCGGCCATTTTTGCCACATGTGAAGCATCTAGACTATACAAGCGACAGGCGGTAGGGGTGGTTTCGAGACAGAATTGCAAGAACAACACGTGAGTGCAGCCATTTATGCTCTGGTCAGTGGTTGGAGTTTCTGTCTTCTTCCCACACACTTTGCGCCAGGAGGTGCAAGCAGCACAAGCACAGGATGTCGACATGGAGGCCCTTGGGATGGATCCGAGTTCCTACGGCTCCGAAGCCTATGATTCCTCGTGCTTCTCGAGCGGCGGTAGGCTGATGATGACGACGAACCCTTCGAGACGGAGGAGCACTAGTCTCTGTATCACACCCTGGGAGGCAGAAGCCAGTCCTATGAATCGTACAAGTCTCCCCCCTTTGTTCTGTGTCGTGCAGCGAGGCAGAGCAGATTCTTAAAAGTTGCAAAAAGTCTGAGTTTGGAGGACGATGCCGCCGAGCCAGGGGAGGACCGACGAGAGGTGCGGAGCCTAGTGACCATCGTTCTGGGAGAGGCGTGCGACCCGGTAAGACCGATTGACAAGGATTTCAGCTTGATGGCCCTTGGTGTTGCGGATGTTCTGAAGTCCTGCGAGCAGTAGACTCGCACTTCTCGTGTCTAGCACTCGAGTCGCGAAGAAGGCGCATCGTTCGACTGAGGACGTTCTCCAGTGCCGCGCTTTGGCCGAGCGGGCCCTCAGGAGTGTAGTGCCGTATCAGTCTTGGGAGGAAGTGAAAAACGCAAGAATCCTAGAGCGGGGCCTAGGGCCTAGGGCTGGACACTCCTGTGCAGGAACGGAGATGCTGCCGAGGGAGTGCGTCTTCTTGAGAAGGCTTGGAGAAACGAGCAGGGTTACGTGCTGCACCATTGCCCAGATGTCGAGGATGAGGGCATTTGATGCTACTAGACACTCGCCAAGGGGAGGGGGCGGTTGCGCTGCCTAAGTTGTGGTGGGTTTCTTCCATTCCGGTGCGGTCCTTCTCGACACGCTTTAAGTCTCTTCACTTGGGGCTTCATTTGCATCGGTCTCATGCAAAGAGTCGGTGCGCTAAACGCGGTGCTATCACCGGATGTGGCTTTTTCGAGGCACCTTGGTGCCTGTGCGGTGTTTGCTGTGAGGCCGCTTTGCTCAATGCTCCAAGATTGCTTAATGTCGTAGGTTTTCTGGACATAATACTTTAAGATGCCACGAACTGAAGCACCAAGTTGATAAGTTCTCCATCAGTTTGTTCATTCAGACCTTAACATATTGAAATTGCTTAAGGCCCCTGGCGTCTGCTCTCCAACCCCTTTCTCCAACGTATGCACAACACGAAGCGCACTGTGAATGCGGCTGCTCCGCGTCGCCAGCAGAAAGTATGGCTGCGGCAGTGCGAGTTGATCAGTTCACCAAACGCGCGTGACCCTTTCAGTGGTTCAATGCCTGCAGACGGTGCGTGTCTGCCCGAGTTTCCGGAAGTAAGTGATTTCGGCGTCTGTCTTCACGATCCATATCGCACTTTCAAGAAGCGCAGGCCATGCGCCTGGGAGGAAGCGATTGCCCAGGTGTTGAGGCCGGGTGCCCCTTGACCACGACAATCGTCTCAATGCACCTGACCGTAGCCCCACGATCAAATTTCAGATACTCCCAGACTGTCCTCAAGCCCCCCCCTCCCAATTGCAGGAGTTGCTGAGGGCTGCTCGGGTGCAGCTCGGTTCTACTGTGGCTACTGCCCAGCGTGCCGAGCCCGCGAAGGCAAAGTTGCAACTCTCTACGCGGGGAAGTTGGACCCCGTTCTCAGAGTGAGCACAACTTTTTGGTAGTTTTTCCGCTCCTTAACCATGCAGAAGTCTACAGCCCTTGGTTGCAGTGGGCTGTCGAAGCGTGTCCGAACCTACCGATCGGATCTCTTGTATGAGTGCCTTGATGTTCAGCATTATAGATTACTTGGAGGTTCATGGGTAGTTATAAGTGGGGTTATAAGTCCCCTAATTTGGGATATAATTATTATACTTGTTGTTGCCCTACTTACAACCCCAGTTATAACCTTACAACCCCAGTTATAACTACCCATGAACCTCCAAGTAGATTGGAGCTGACCCCTGCCCATCTCTTCAGGCGGACCCGCAGCAAAACGGCACGCGCCTCGCTCTTTGACCGCGCAGCACGGACAGGTCAAGACCTTTCACGCCTCTGCTCCCTAGATCCGCCGTAGATTCCTGAGAATCTCATGTTGCTGAGGAGGCACCGTTGAGGGCAGATATGTCTGGTCCCAGACGAAGGCGTCTTGAAATCTGATCTCTGGGTAGGTATTGGCTGCTCGTAGGGACGTCGCACAAGTCTTGGGCATGGTTCTCCGTGAGACGCAGGAGGCAGTAGAGATCAACCTCTTCGTGCCGCCGGAGACAAAAGCCAAGGACATCCAGGCTCCGGGGTGGGGATGGTGGGGATACGAGGTCTTCGCGCCTTCGCCCTCAAGCCAAGGTGGAGGTCTCGGATCTTCGTTTGCGCATCGCCGGCGCTGGGCAAACTCTCCTGGAGGGTGACTGGGAGTTCAAGGCCCCGATGGCACAGGACTTTCCGGGCAGACTGTGTCCAAATATTAAGCCGAGTAGGGCAGTTCTTCTGGCGCGGACGCGATGTGTTTGAGGGGCGCTAGGTTGCGGTCCATGCCGGCAGAAGCTTGTCTTGGCGATGTGCGCCAAAGGGCACTCTGAAGAAGTTCCCTAAAGGCCATATCATATGATGTACTATAGACTATAGACTATAGTAGAATAAGCAGCTTAATTTAGACAATGCAACATACGAAGATATGTATTAAAAGAAGGTCGAAAGCCCTTCTCATGCCCAAGCAAGCCAGGTTTCGCCAGAAGAGGCCAGCTGGGCAGCACAAGAGCCTAAATGGTTTCAGACAATGCGGGGATCTTGATACAAACTTGGATGAAAGGGAGACATATAGAGCGAGCGAGAGAGTGGCCGCGCCGTATGAAGGGGCCCTTTAGAGCGTCTTCGGGAAGCTTCTGACAGGACCCGGACTGGGAGCTCATCACCTGCCAGGAGCGGCGTGCCTTGCGTCTCCTGGTGCGGAAGGCGAGGGCGGCGGAGAAGAAAGTCCTGCGTTCTTGTGGCCGAAGTCTGCGAAGGCCGCCATGCCTGGGGGTATGTCCGTGGCAGCGTCTGTCTCAGATTGCGCTGTCGCGGTGCCGCTCCCTTCCTTTGCGTGGAGCTGCACCAGGTGTGGTGGAGCAGGATCCTGAAAGGGGAGCCGTCCATCGACGTCGAAGGAATAGAGGACACCTCGCCCGACCATGCACCGTATGGACTCTTGCGAACTTCAAGCCACGCAAGGTGAGTTCACAATGCAGCCTTGGGTGTGCATGTCTGCCGGTACGCAGGCTCGACAGCGAGATCAAGACAAGAGCAAGCAGCTGCTTGCTTCAAGATTTGGCTGGTTCTGTAGACTTGATGAGGGCCAGAGATGAACCACCTGAGCGGCAGATTCGCATCCTGGGCTGCTTTCCTCGGGTTGCATTCTTCGAGAAGTCCGTACGAAGAGTTGGCCGTGGACTGTACACTTTGGAGAAGCATACTGGCGAAGCATTGATGCCCAGTTTCGCAGGTTCCAGAAGGCATGGGGCGAAGCCCATGTGGCTGTGGCTGCATTCATGGCAGGGGTTTTCGCGGATTAGCTATAACTCTGCAATGCTTGCCGTAGGCGTATGGTTTGGGTGTCTTTGCAGTTCATCCCTTGTCATCCCTTGTCAGTTGGTGCGGGATGCTTCCATTCCCCAGGCCATGTTCAAAGAAGCGGTCAAGAATCGGCAGCCCATTCCCATCGATGTGTGCTTGCCTCGGATAGTCCGGCTTCAACAGCACCTTCCGAAGTCCAGACCGTGCGAGCAACAGCTTCCCTGCCAGGGGCCAGGGATGACAGGCCGGGTTCGTCTTGCTTTAGGGGAGTTGTGCTCGTTTTGATCGTTTCATCGAGTGTCACCGAGGGAGAAAAGAGAGATGCGCCAAGAAGAAGTGGGGTTTGTCCTTGACCTGCGTGGCTGGCAGGTGTGTGTGTCGTGGAACCGCAGCAAGAAGACTGCGAGACCCGTGCGACGTCATGAAACGACCACCGAAGCACAGAACTTGCTTGCTGTCCAAGTTCGCATCGTGGCCGGGTGTAGTTCGTGCTCATGCGAAAGATGTGCATACACCTCCCTCTGGGTCTTCCTTTGCACGTGCTTCTCTGTGTACGAGCGTGTGTCATCTTTACCATGCTTTGCTTTGACTTAGCCCTTGATGTCTGCTTCGCAGCCTCAGAAGTGGCTTGCGCGGAGACCAAGAGGTTGTAGATTTGCAGCGCCAGAGGATGCACAGAGAACCCCCGAGCTTTACATCATGTAGTTTACGACGTTCAGCGACCTTCTAGAGAGACCCTGGGAAGCCCCGTAGACAGGCAGTACTGACGAGACGTGGTCTGCTCGAGAATGCGTTGCATCCAGTCTGGCCATGTTATGAGTTGACCATCTTGCCGTACACGTGTCGGGTGTGCGTCAAGAAAAAGCTCATCATCAGCGTCCCGACAAGCCATGGCCCGTGTGCTTCGCCCACGGCGCGGAGTCCAGCAGTGCCGCGGCAAGCGCGTCGCACAGGGTTTTTTGCCTGAGGGGTCCAAAGGTTTAGGGGGCCCTCGGACCGAAACGAATCCGAGACGTGAAGCTTTGTCGGTGTGTCTCCTGATAAGGTGGGTCATCAGCGGGATATCGGAGAAGACAGAAGTCCAGGTCCGCCGAGGATTAAGACCTCAGCGTGATCTCGCAATTTCACGGTTTTTACCCAGGCTGGCGTAGCCGCACAGATTTCGGCTGGCTTTTTCGGTGTTCAGTCGGAGTAGGTGAGCCTGTGATGACATGGCAGGGCGGCTGGCGGCGTGGGGCCCCACCTGGCGGCGAGGCAGATCGAAAACCAGGAAGGGTTCGCCGGCCCTGCATAAGTTGCAATCTGCATGCGAACTAGGCCGGAAGTGAAGCTTGCCATCAACCCATTTGCGGCATTCCCTGGCCCTGGAGAGCTCCGAAGCCGACCACCCTGGAGCTCCTGCCGTCGCGGCAGGTCCTCACGGCAAGCGAGTCGCGAAAGCTCAGAGACCTGAAGTCAAAGGCGCCGAGACATGCCAGTCAAAGCATTCTTGGTACTAGATTTGTGGTTTTGAACAAGTCTCGGAAGTTGGGTCCAGGTGTTCCTTAAAGGAGCGGTGGGTCTCTGTCTGCATCGGTTTAGAGACGGGGCCCCGAAGACCCTCTGGCTGGGGATTTCTGCAGGCCAGGAGGGCAGGTCGAAATCCCGACCTCGTGCCTTTGACTGCAAGCTGGGGTCTTGGGGGCGCTAGAGCCGCTAGGGTCTAGGCGTCAAGGTTATATGAAGTCGTCGTGGGGAGGGGGCCTCAAGGCCCAGAGTCGCTTCTTCCGAGCTTGCCTCATCTTCGTGGCGGTTCAGGTCTTGGTTCCCCGATTTCTCAGGGAGACGCCGGTGGCCTGCTTGTTTGGGGTTTGCGAGTCCGACGGGCCTGAAAGGGTGACCGAGACCCCACACTCGACGTACTGTTGTTCACGCATCTCTGGTAAGTGCGCAGCCGTGAAGCTCGAGTATTTTTCGCAGTTCTGCGATGACAGCGTCTGATCAAGCCAGGATGACATGAGCCTGCATCTTCCTCCGCAAAGCATCGTCACAGCTCCGTCGATTTCCGTGTTATGCTGAGTATGGCTAACATCCGAGGTGGTGCTGCCACCCAGGAAGCTGCCGAAGCCCAGGCTGCCCCATCCACCCGATGTGGCTTTACTGGAGACTACGAAGCATTCCAAAACCAGGGTCTCTTTCAGTGGCCGTGTGGAAGACAACTCCTCTGCAAGGACTCCCAGCTCCCGGTGCCCCCACTGCTGCCACCGCCCGGTGCTGACGGCGCAGCTCTGAGCCGTGCAGCAGCCACTGCTTCGCAGAGCGGAGAAGGCCACAAAGCATCACAAGACTTGAGTGTTTTGAATCGTTTGCCTGGGTGTGCCGGCCAGTCTTACACCCATGGAACCCAAGCAGACGCAGCACACGGTCGAAATGGCACATGCCTGTGTCTCAAAGGGTTCGTCGAAGAAACAGAAACCCCTGTTCGAGGCAACACCGTACACACGGAAGCTATGGAAATCTTTCGAATGCGCACGGCTAACATTGCTCGACGTTATCATTCGCGTTTTCAGAATCAACACTTCGGGCTGCACGGCAGGCTTGGCGCTGTTCCAGAGCCTTTGCACCCGTGCACGTGAGGTGGGCGCCATGTCCGGTTCTGGAGGGGTTTGCCTGGATCAGCCGTAACTTTCACTTGTTCTACGTTTATCGCATGCTGCAAAGCTTTGCAGGGATGCCTCTGGATTTCCTGGATGATCTGCATGCTGTTCTGGGATCCGTCGAAGACATCGAATCCTCTTATGGCTGCTACAAACACTGCTACCCAAACCCTAAACCCTGGTCACTTGTATAGCAACACGTGTGTGGTCAGTAATCACAAGAGCTGACTCATTCTGTTTGGCTTTCGACTGTACCCTGCAACGCCGGCTTCGTCCTGCCTAGGTGGGAGGCAAAAAAAAGTCGAAACCGGCTTGACACTAATTGTTGTATGTTTGTCGTTGTCGTCTTGCTAGCCTCGAGCGGGGTGGTAACGACTCGTTGACCCAGTATCGCTACAGACCATGCCAGGCTTCTCCGAGTGTGAGGGTCAAAAATACAAGTCGAAACCCCTAAGCCTCGGAGCTACTACCCGGCCCTTTGGGGGGGCCTTCTTTATAGGGATCAAAAAACCGCCGCGGCCCCTGGCCCTGCGGAGATCCTGGCGAGCTTTGATCCGCCGGACTTGGCTCGCTTGGTGAAGGCCATGGCAAGGGCGACGCCAGGCAGCGAGAAGACGTGAGGATGCTTTTTTGGATGTTCTTTTGGAGACTCTTTTTGATGTTCGTTTGGATGTTCTTTTGGATGTGTGTGTGTGTGTGTGGATGTTTTTGGGTTGGGGCAGTTCCTGGCGTTTGTGGGAGCTTGCGGAGTACTGTCCTGGGTCATTCTAGGTACGCATATGAGGCAGATTGAGGCAGCGAGGAGCAGCTCCAGCAACTTTTGAGTGTGGTGTTTGTTCAGCACGGCTTTTGGAGATGGCATTTTTGTCATTGATCTTTGCAAAGCACACGGATGCACACATCCATTCCCGACAGACAGCAGTGGCAGCAGCACGAGGAGTTGCAGTCACATCATATCATATGGTGTGCTCTTCCTCAGCCTGGAAGGGTAGACCGACAGCGACTTGATGTGTCGAGAAGACAGATGCGCACCTTCCTGCTTCACTCAGGAGACATGAGGACTCGGAGCTCTCTTCGCTCCTGCTCAAGCTCTTTGGCCTTAGAACGGGCGCACTGCTTTCTGCTTTATACTGCGCTGCTAGCTTTCTCGGACTTGGCGTGCTGCTCGACAGAGGGGCACTTCACACATGCAGGCGTGCGCCTGGTGAGTTGAATCAACCTGCAACTTTGCCCTGCATTCTGAAACCGAGAGAGCAGAGGCAGGGAGTCAGCCGATTGGCCTACTTCGACGAGCTTTGGCAGCAAAGTCTCAAGGTCTCAAGGCTTTGGCTCTGGCTCGGGCTCTTTGATGCTCTTCGCTGGTCGGGTCCGGTGCTCTTCTTGCCGCCCAAGCCTCAACTTTCAGCAAAGGCAGATCGCTTGGTCCAGTTTCTCTCCGGACTCCGGGCAGTGCTGCCGGCCAACGAGCTAGAGCCTGCATCAGAGGAGCGAAGGGTCTCCTTCAGAAAGCGCTTCCGTTCTGATTCATATCGCTTTGATGGGCTCAGGAGGTTTAAAGGGTTCCTTAGTGCCGGCCCGTGACTGCGCAGAAGTTCGCGGCCTGGCCTCTTGTCGCCTTCGCCATGGCAGAGAGCGGCCTTGAGTTCTGACGAGTGCGAGTCTCCGGGAGGATGCTCCGCGGGCAGCTCTTGAAGCGACCCGGGCCCGGGCCGTAAGAACCGCATCTCCGATTTACAGCGGAGCGCTGACACGACACAACGCACGAGAGGCGGCACACGGAATCAACTTCCCTCGCATTTCTGCAAGCCGCCTGCAAGCCAAAGTCGAAAAGGAAGAGTCGGTCATCGGCCCCTGCGCGGAAGGCCATTTCCCAATCCGGACTTGAACACCTTGCCATCCGGGCTCGTCTTGCGAAGTAAGAGGCAACAAATTTAGGTGTGAATTTGCGAGACGTCACCAGCTGTTCAGCGGCATCCGAGGTTCCTTTCTCTGCAGCTGGCCAGGAGAGACCTGGGGCTGCGACAGTGCTTGGACCTTGTATGACAGGTACTGACAGGTACCGAGGCTTGTCGCTGCCTCTGAAAAGTGGCGTCAGGCGACAATTTTATGGGTATTCATCCGTTTACCCGTCACGCAGCAGTCACTGCTGCAGACATGCATCGAGATTCGTTATCTTTAAGTGCCCAAGTTCTGCACGGCTGTGCCGTGCGTAGTACCGGACTTTTGCAACTTCAAATGGAGGCTGCAGTGCATTCTCCAGCCCGGAGCCGTCGTCCAAAAGATAAGCGAGCCTCAATGCACGTCTGTACGCTGAGCTTGCAGCACAGCACGCGAGCGTGAGTCGATGCTTGCATTCAAAAGGTTCAAGAGCGTCGCTTCAGTGAGTTTTTGAGACGCCTCAGAGGTCAGCGCTCCTGCCATGGCCCTTCGAGCGGTGCTGCTTTGCTCGGCGCTGGGCCTCCTGGGCCTCCGCGGTGCCTTCGTCGCGCCCCGCGGCGCCGCCAAGGAAAGCGCGTGGGAGCGCGAGGAGCCCACCCGGAGCGCGGAGTTTACGGAGCTGGAGGCCTCCACCTTTGAGGCCCCTTCTGCCTCCAGCTCCCTGGACGGCCTGCTTCGCTTCGCTGCCGGCGCTCTGCTCGGCTTGGCAATGGTGGGCATCTCCGGCGCACCGGCTAAGGCGGATGTGGAGGACGTGGTGATCCCTGTGGATGACAAGGGCAAGACCACGACCCTTACCAAGGAGCAGCTGGTGCGTGGCAAGCGTCTTTTCAACGCCGCCTGCGCCTCCTGTCACGTCGGTGGTGGCACCCGCACAAACCAAAATGTGGGCTTGGCCATCGAGGAGTTGTCCGGTGCGCAGCCCAATCGTGCCAGCGTCGAGGGGCTTGTGGATTACCTGAACAACCCTACGACCTACGATGGACTGAAAGACATCTCAGAAGTTCACCCATCCATCAAGGGCGGTGACATCTGGCCCAAGATGCGGTCCATGAAGCAACAGGATCACGAAGGGATTGTCAGATGCAAGTGTCTCGTAATCTTTCACCTTGGACTCAAACAGTTGAGGCTAAGTCCCAAGCTGGCTTGTGGGTTTTCGAGTCCACAAACTCCGCATCCCGCATTCCGGAGGACCTGTATGACATGTCTGCCTACATCCTCTACCAGTGCCTGGATTGCATTACTTGCAACTTCGGGGCTGCCACAGGGCCGTACACAGTGTTTCAACTCGTTCAGCTCTGCGGAAATCTCGACATGCCTCAAAAAGAAAAGGTAACAGACGCACCAGGCGGCTAGTAGTTCAGCGATCCGACTTTGCATCCCTCGTAGGCTCCCCCTTCCGCGTCCGACCGACCCTCCATCCAAGGAACCAGACCATCCCAGAGAAGTGGGGAGGCGGCAAGACCTACTACTGAGCCACGGTGACCTCAAGACTGAGATTTTCGGTGTTTAGACGCTGGCAGTGCGTTGGCTAAAAAGCTGCTTCGTCTTTCTTGGAAGGGTCGACCCGTGTCTGCCAGTAGGACAGCCCGACGGGCCGAAAATGTGCGCGCGCGCGAGTGTGTGTGTGTGTGTGACTTGCGTGCGGAGTCAGAGGAGCTTCGGCTCCGCATCGCGGAACTCCGTGGCCGTGGGGCGCTGTCAGCGGCCGCCACACTGGCTCCGCGACTGCTGCGAGGAGGTGCAGAGAAGCGGCTGACCGGAACCTCTCACAGGGACTCGGAGTAGGAGTGGTTTCTCATGAGGGCAGAGGCGATGAACTTAAGGTCAAAGTGCAAAGACGAGTCGATAGCTTCGGAAGCGATTGCTGGGCCTGCAGTGTCTAGTCAGCATCTTTTAGCACTCATTCCGGGCAGTGCTTGAATGCAGCCGTTTGGAATTTGGGCGGCTGGTCTCAGGCTTGCATCACGACATCCTACACTGTCCTACACTACGCCATGTGCCAGATAAACATGCGGAATCTTGCATGGTCTATCTTCCGAAGGATGTACCTGTCAGTCTCCTTCTCTCTCCACTCTATGATTCCATGGCCTTCCCAACTAGTTTTTGAGGGGTGCCTCAGCGATTCTCTTACCGATCGCTCTGGCTTTGCAGTGAACGCAGTCTCCTCAAGACACAAGCCCTGTGCGCTTGTGAGCTGAACAGCGCACGGTCCACATGCACCGATGGCCATGCAGCTGCGGGGGCTGCCGGCCCGAGCGCTTAAGGTGCCGCCCGCACCGAAACGGCGGCCGCTGCAGGCGCGGGCGCTGTGGACGCCAGGGAGCGGTTACAGGCGCGCCAAGAAGGGAGGTTGTTTTCCGGAAGAGCACTTGAAGGGGAACCTGAGCCGAGGCCCAGAGGCGATGACCCACACCGCCGCCCCACGCTGCAGCTCCGGGAAGGAGCCGAGGCACCTGAGCCCATCCCAGCACTCCAAAAGCAAACTCGAAAGCAAGCGAGTTCCTTGGGCAGCTTTTCCACCTGCTCCTGAAGCTCGAGTCGTCCGGAGGCCAAAGTTCGCCGTGGCTACCCGTGGCTGCCGTCCAAGGCGGTGCGCAACCCGGAGGTTGGCCACCGAAAACGGGCAGTGAAGTGAAAGAAGCACGTCGAAACTCGAAAGCAGCTGCCATCGTCATGCATCCGATCTTGGCATGACAGCGATGCTTTAGTCAACGCATGCCCTTGTGCAGGCTTTACAGGCCTTTACGCCTTGCCTCGTTAACGTTGAGGCTGGCGCTGGGGCAGGTTTGGGCATGTTCTCCGCCAAGCGGGCTTGTGGTGCCTTGCTCCTTTCAGGCCACAGATGGCGACGTGCTGGGGGTGGCACTGTACAGCGGGCGCCCTGCCGAAATATCATTCTGCACTAGTGTGTTGGGTTTGGGCCGAGGCTAGCCACTTTGTCAGCGGCCATGGTAGGAAGACCTTATAGACCGCACAAGAAAGTTTGAACAGACACCTGTGCAGAGGAGGGAGAGTACCATGTTGAACCAACACCGGGGGTGCAGCCCCGGTGTGCCTTCAGTGCACATTGGCATAAACCGCTGCAGTCGAAGGCTCGGTTCCATTGCAGCCCGCATGCTGTGCACCACCGCATATGCATCTCGGCTTTGGTGCAGTTTGGCCAAGCACTTCACCACGGGGCCACCGAGGGGTTGGTTCAATGCTTGGTAAGGTTAACAAGATGTTGTTTCTAGTGACTCCAACATCAGGGTCCCAGACCTGTCAGAAACGTTCACGGATGTAGGGGTTGATGCTTGGAAGTGAGTGTGCCATCCGGATCTCTGGCCTGGAACCGCGAATATCTTGAATTGCGACTCGACAGGCGCAAAGGTTGGCACTCGATAGGTTATTTGCAGAGGTGCGCATCGACGCTGCCTTTTTCGCAGCGCGATTGCAGAAATGCCTCGCCTATCGCGAGAGGCCCGGCAATGCACCAAACCACCTGCGACACCAACAGGAGCCCAACTACCACTCTGGGGGGAGTGTCAGCACACATTCCTCCAATCAACAACCCATCCGAAAACGAGAGGCTCTTTCCGGAGCCGTTCTACCGCTTGGTTCACGGAGAGGCGCCTTTCTTCCCTTTCGTTTTGAGAGAAGAGAAAGATATGGCTTCGGTGCTCGAAGCTCCACCGTCATGAAACGAAGCCTGCACTATTTGTCTTGGCCCAGCCTGAGTCAGGCAGATGGTCTCCCGGGCCTGATGATCGATCGCAGCTCGGAGCACCATATCAACTTGTCCTACGGGTTTGTTGTTTCTAATTTTTTCATGTTGTGTGTTGAGATGGCGCTTCAGAACACTGCAGAGAGCGTACGGCTTGGGAAAGCAGGTTTGGGCTCAGCCATTGCATCCTTCAGGCATGGGTGTTTTGACCGACTGCAGGCTACGCAGATCATGTAGTCATTGCACCGGCTGCCGGCATGGATTTGGTTTTGATGCTTGGCCGCACAACTGCTCAATGAGATCTGGCACATCTCGGTTTAGGGGTCAGGGCCTTAAACCATTAAATGCGAGTATAAGAAACTTGCCGACAGGGGATTTAGGGTTCATCTAGCCCGACGCATTTTTCAGAGTCTTTGCCGAGGTGGCCCCTTGTCGATGCCTTGGAGGAGGACGGTCTCGGCTGCGCTGGCAGTGCATCTGCGGTGCCGTCAGCTGAGCGGTAGAGCTCTTTGAGCAGGTCTTGAAGCCGAAGGTGGTCATCATCCGTCAGGACGCTGGGATTCCCTTTATCTCCTCTGTAGAGTCTTGAAGATCTTGGTGTGGCCCGAAGCCGACGATGGTTCGGAGGATACGCTCGGGCGGAGACGCGAGCATCCTGGTCGCACATCTACAAAAGCACGGATCCTCCATCCGAGACCTCCCACTCCCCACATGCTCCTTTTTTTCAGCTGCAGCCCGAAGAACCCGACAAGAAATGCGGCGCTCGCTAGCTTGGGAACCAAGGGGCGCAGCGCTGCGCCGGGAGGTGCTCTCGGGCCGCTACGTGGGCCCAACGGAGCTGCGGGAGACGCCAGGTGAAAGAGTGTTCCTTGTGGAGGCCAAGAAGGAGTAAGAGGGAGTCGCAAGAAAGAATCACATGGAAAATGAAGATGTTGTGGATTTTCTTTGAAGGAAGCTTAGGCTGCAAAGCAGAGGGACATGTGACATGTCCGCGACAATAAGGAACGGAGTCTCATTTGCAGTCGATGCGTGGCAGCACGATGATCTAACTTCCGTGACTCCACGCATGCGGGTGCAGATTTTGTGTGGAAATGACTCGTGCGTGCTTTCACACTCAGTTTCGCTGGCACGTTTGACCCAGGATCTTCTCAGTGGCCAGAAGACTGGCTGGTATTATGACCAGCGTGACCACCGGACGTTGTTGGCATCTCTGGTCGCGAATACTCCTCGAGTGCTGGACCTTTACAGCTATGCCGCTGGATGCTATCTTTAGCAAACCCAACCCTTGACCGTTTAGGAACCTTTCATTCTCCTCCCGAGTAGTGCGTGTCTCGCAGCTCTAGCAAAAAAAGGGTCATTGAGAATTCGCCCAATAGAATCAGAACTGTACTGCCGCACTGCCCTGTTCCGGCTAGGCCCTGTTGACTTTTTTACTTCCACGCGATGCTTACGGAGGAGCACGGTTGAGAACATTTTCCTGATCATTTCTGGTTGCTGAGCCGAAACCAAGGTCGGCGGCTTCGGCGTGACGTTGGCGCACTACGGCGCCTGGCAGGGGTTGAGCCGAAGCCAAGATCAAGTCCTGGAGGGAAGAGTAGTACAGTAGGGAGCAGCAGGGGGGCGTTGCTGGTTCCATGCAGGGATCCTGCGTGGTGTCAGGTTCAGCACAGCACGGGTGGTCTGATTTAGAGTCCAGCGTCTAGCCTCGTGTTCTGCTGAGGTGCGGAGTCTGTGGTGTGCGTGGACAGCAGCGAGGACGGAGCCCTTTCTGACCCAAGCATGCCCAGAGCATGCCTAGCAGACTGCTGCCTTGACTTTGTTTCCGGCTGTGGCAACAATCGGCTCTAGGAAAGCAAAAGAGGGTTCTGTCACGGACATCACAGTGGGCATGCGAAGCTGCACCAGGCCGCTCTGGAGCTTTGCCGGCGGAGCGCTGCGATGAACTCCGTGTCGCCACGGGTCAGGCTCCGGAGCTGCGTCGCATCGCGTTGAGTCTCAGTGTTCCACGGGCTGCGAACAGTATATGGAATGCCCCAAACTGGTAGACCTGTCACCTGTGCCCGCATAACCCGTGTCACTTGTGCCCGCGCATCGCGTGTCGCTCGTGCCCGCGTAGGTGCCTGAAATCACGGCAGGGCCACACTTTGGGCCACTTGTCGCGAAAACGTGGACCTGTCACTTGTGCCTACGTTTCGGTCTTTAAT